GGAGGGAGAGGTGAACTGTGGCTGCGGGAATACCTTGACAGAGAGGATGGAGCTAGAAGAAAATGGCTTGCGTCTCTAATCTTGCATCTGCCCTTTGTTTCCCTGGTGCTCCAGACGCTATAACCTCTGACCCCGCCTGTACCCCGGCCCTCGCCCTTTTGGCGGTGGTTTTCGGCACCCTCAAGACCGTGGCCGGTTTTCGAAAGGTTGGTAGGGGCGAAGGAGGAACGAAGGAGAGAGGGAGGGAGGAAGAGAGGGAGAAAGGGCAAAGGGGGGAAATCTCAAGACAGGATGATGAAAACCAAACCAATGAGGGGCCTATTTGTTTCGGGAATGCGAGCGTTTTCAGATTTGAGTATTTAAATTCAAATCTGCGTCGCTCCACGAACCCTCCTGAAAGCATGGGCTCTATCAGTGATCGTAATGTGCTTGTTCTTGCAAGCTGTCTGACGTCTGAGTTGCCTCCACCCTCCCTCTCATTTGGAAGGGTTCCGTGCTTGGACTTGAGCCTCACCTTTCTCCTCCCTCCCTCCCCTGCTCTCCCCCTCCCTCCCTTCCATTGGCAAGGTCATCTTGGACGCAGATATCTATGAAGAGGAGGATGCGCAGCCCAACTCTTTGGGCTTATATTTAGCCGAGAATTTGGAGACAGACGACGCTATATTTCTGTTGAAAGAGGTAGGTGACAAGGAGAGGAGGGATCGAAGGCGACAGGAAGGAGAGATCCGGGGGTGTGACTATGACGGCAATGTGGAGATCAAGAACGGGCAGAAGGGAGAATGAGAGAAAAGGGCCTGGTTAGAAGTGTGAAAGCGCTTACTTATTCCCATGGTACCGCACAGGCGCGGGAGGGTCTCCGCCTCCAAGAGGGAGGATCCTCCCAGAATAAGGGGGTGGCGGGGCATGAGGAAGGGGGGGAAATGGAAGAGAGAAAAGGAGGGCCGGGAGAAGACAGGGATCTTGCATCTCTTGTGGCGCAGCTAACGTTTCGCATCGCCCTGTTGAATTTAATTGACGTGTTGCGTGAGTTGAGGGAGGGAAGAGGGAGGGAGTACGAGGAGGGGAACTCAAGCATGTGACTGAGCGATGGAAATCCTACCTTAGCATTTGTGGCGCGATAAAACAAGAGAGGTGGGAAGTAGAGTTGGGCGAAGAGACGCAGGGAAGGTGTCTTCGTAGGAAGAAAGGGGCTCTGCCAAAGATAAAGTCCGGGTGGTATGTAGACTTTATACCTTTTTTCGCTTTTTCCCTCCTGTAGACTCTTTCCATCCGTCCCAAGGAGCAAAGGCAGGCCATGTGATGCGAGACGCCCTCCAGGAAGCGATCGATGCGCTTGGGACCATAAAAGAGGGGGGGAAGGAAACCGTGGAGGAGGAGAAAGTGGAGGCCAGTGGCGAGAGCGGATCTGTTGCGTTCGCGTTCGACCGAGGGATAACCCGCGCGCTGAAAGTAGGCATATATTTGAGGGCGGGGGAAAGGGAGGGGGTCGGTTGGGGGGCGTTGAGTAGAAAAGGGGCGGGAGGGGAACACGCGAGGGACGTGTGGCGTCGTGTTGCTTGGTGCGGAACTCACATGCTGCCTCTCTTCCCTTCTATCTGCGCCTCTTCCTACCCCAGGGCAATGCCCCCCGGCGCGTCATTCACATTCCTTCCTTGTCTCAGGCTTTCCTGGTCTACCGAACCCTCCTTGATGACCTGGGGAAAACCCTGGCCGCCTTTGCTTTCGACGTCAATTTTGAGGTGGAGAAGGAAGCGACGGGGACGGAAAGGGTGGGAAACATTTGTTGGGCATTTCTATGTATTTCGTGGAATTTTGCTCCCTTTGAAAATGATCTTTTGCTCTAGTATCGTTTTTTGGATTTCTTCGTACGCAAAACTATAGCAGACGCTTAAGCCGAACCGGTGTATCATGTATCATGAGCATTGCTTCCACTGTTTCAGCGCCTCTCGTCTGCAACTTTCTGCAAACTCATTCTTCCCCATTTCTCATGTACAGGCTTTCTCTCTACAACGGCTCCGTATGTTTCTGGACGCTTTTGCTGCTGCTTCCCCGGGCATTATTGCACGTTCCTTCCTTCATCAGCATTTGGTGGTAAGTAGAGAGGATCTGAGAAGGAGGGGGCTAAAAGAGGAACATGCGATGGGCAGGTAACAAAAGACGTTTCTGAACCAAGATTCTGACAGTATGCCTTAAGATTATCTTCAAGGCAATCCCCCTTCCTATCAAATCCCTCTCTTAATTGCTCTTCCTCTTTCTCTTCAAAAATACAGAAAGAAGATGAGGATCTTCTCCTCGGTCGCTTTCCTTTCTCCCTCGCCCTGGCCGAGCATATGCAAGGTGTCGGTCTTCCTGTCAGCGTCGTCTGCTCTCCCCAGAGCCAAGCGTTTCTCCTCACAGGTACACCTTCTCATTTCTCTTTACCCCTCCCTACCCTAACCCTCTCTGTGTTGAGCGGTGCTCTGATTTCCTTCCATTTTCTTTTCTTTTCAGCCGCCAAGACTCTCGCGGAGGCATTACGCAATCTTTGTCACAATAAAGCTCGTCAACGGACGCGTCTGGAGGTGCTTTTTCAGGTACTGGTCGGCATAGGGAGCTCAGAGGGGATTCAGAGGGCGAAATATCAGGCTGTGTATGATAAATTGTCGATTTTCCCATAACTCTAGGATTTGGGTGTCTTGGAGGAGCAGGCAGAAATCTCGGACGCCGACTTCCGCGCCGCGCACCAGGTAAGGAGACAGGACGCAAGGGATGCAGGAAGCAGAGAATTGCGGGTCTCGGAGGGTGATCGCGGTAGGAGTGTAAAGGGTTGAGTGAGAATTCCGCAGAGGGGAGGGAGGTGGAGGGGTGTGGGACGAGAAGGTGGGATAGGAAGGGCGTGTGGACGAGTTTATACAGGAAAGAAATGGGAAATTTATAAGGAATTGAAAAAATATAGAGCATTGACCATTTCCCCCCTTCTCCTCATTGCCTAGCTCTCGGAAAACACGACCCCGTTCCTCTTGCAGTGGATCATGGAGGAAGCTCTCAGGTGCGTCTGTGACATTGGCTTTCTTTCTTATATTCGATCTTTCACACATATACGCACGTATGTGTGTATATATATAGATGATATGCTAAAGCATATACATACATTTCTATATACATATCTACATGAATGTACAGGCACATGCAATCGTACATTCAGCTGGGCTTCGAGCTGGATCTGTACGCGGCCACGGAGGCGGAAGAGATTTTGTGGTACTTGGACTGTTTATTGAGCGTCCGGTGAGGGGTCCTAGGAGGAGGGACGACGATGCAAAATGGGGAAGGGGTGGGAGGGGTGGGAGGGGGGTTGGTATGGGGACAGGAGGAAAAGGGTACGCGCAAGGACCGGAATTTATGGGCAGAAGCTAGTTAAATGCTGCTCATCTTCTATAATTTGCCTCTTCATCCTCTTTACTCATTTTTTCTTTTCCAGCCTCCAGATTTTGACGAGCTTAGAAAATCAGAGAATAGAATTGGAAAAGCTCCGGCGGCAGGCGACTGCTGCTGCTTCCAGCGACAAGGAGAAGCAAGGAAAAAAAGAATCTAAGTCGGGAACCGGGACCGGCAAAGGGCGCGGGGGTGGCGGAAAGAAGAAGCAGAAGAACAAGGGAGCTAAGGGGACGGGGGAGAATAAGGGGGAGGAGGAAGCGGTGGAGGGAGGGCCAACGATCAGGCCAGACGATGACGCTTTGGCGGAGACGCAGGTATGATCCTTTCAGTCGCGTAAACGAGTGCCCCTTACATGTCCCCTCATTGACCCCATAGGATCGGACCTCCCTTCCCCTGGATTCTTCTCTATTTCTCCGCTTTCCACGGACTGATATCGATCTTTCGTTCAAAAGTGTGCGCACCAAGTCACAACTTTTTCAATTCCACTATGCTTGGACGCACACACGTCTGTGCCGTGCTTTCTAATCAGCTTTCTGTAAATATTCTTCGGTACTCCCACATTTACCCTCCGGTGTGGTTCCTTTGGCAACTACACCGATATGACGCCTTGTCCTTTTCAAATTTTGTTTGTTCCTCGCAGATCGCTCTCTCTATACACCGTCTGCTGGCTCGTGGTGGCCACTTGGCTCTGACGGGCCTTGGGCGGGCACGGGGGTCCTGGCCAATAGAGATACCGCGCGCCCGGGCGGCAATCCGGTTCCATCATCGTTTCAAAGCCTTTGCTCCACTGCGCTACCCGGCACTGATGACCTACGACGATTTCCAGGCAGTGCATGACAAACGCAGGGAAGAGGGGGACGAAGAGGGCGCGTCTCTAACGAACGCGAAGGAGTGCTTTAAGGCAGTTAAGACCCTGGTAGAGCATGGCGTGCGCATCAAGAGTCATTTACAAGACGAGGAAGGGAAGGTCAATTTGAAAAATCTGGCACGTGCAGCCATATCCAACAGCGTGGCATTGGTGCAGGCGGAAGCCTCTTTGAGAGAAGGAGGGGAGAAAGGTGGTAACAGAATTGGAAAAGAAGATTCCAGGAACGGACTGAAGAAAGAGGAAATAAGAGGAGCAGGAGTGGAAGGGAAGGAAATCGAGAGGCCAAGAAAGCACGCAGAAGTGACTTTGTCTTTTGTTGCCCATCCTCAGGTGCCGGTCTTGGTTGTGAAGGTGATGGAGTAAACTGTTATGTTGTGAAGGTAATGCAACTACCATTGGATTGTAAAGGTGAACTAATAAAGTGTAATCCTCGGGCGCCGGTCTTGGTTGTGAAGGTGGTGATATAAACGTCACTTAAGACGCAGGCTTTGTGCGTTTGTCTCAATACAAGGTCACAGGAAGATCATCGTGTACATTGTAGAAATACCCCGAAAGTGTTTTTGTAAATTGTACACATGAAATCAGGACATAGGAGGGGAAAATAAAGTTTGGTGTCGTCAACTTTACTGGCACGTTTACGAATATTATTTTTTGGTTTTTAGGGTACTATCACCTCATTCCTCTAAGATCTTCTTATTGCTTGCTTCCGAGTTTGCGCCAACAAGCGCGCATCTTTCGCCCGCCTCGCCTCCTCTTGCATCTTCCTTCTTTCTCTTACGTCGATAACGGGCTTTGACACCCCGTCTACCCACCTCTCTGCGGGCAAAGGCAAAGATCTAAACGTGCGGAACTGGGCTGCACTCCTTTGAAAAGGGCTTCGAAGAAGCTTGTCCATCCGCTTCCCGTACCGTTCCCATTCTTTGAAGCCATACTCATAGTATTTCTTGCCCCGATACGACGATTCGCTCGCAGTTTTCCCGTTCAAATGCTCAATCGGGAACACGTCGATGACGCTGCAGACGCTTTCAACAGGATATCCACAAACTTCATGTAGGTACTGGCACCAGCAAGCGTCTGGCCCCCAACCACTCACAGCATCTGCATCTATCATCTCCCAGTAGCAGGCGTAGGCCTGGTCCAAAGAAATTAGAGAAGTTAGGGGGAAGGGTAGCGATAAGGATAAGAAGATAAAAATGCAAGAGTGAACTCGCTCGCTGATGGTTACAGGCATTGTTTGCGTCGAATGGTTTTTTTCCCTTCTTCTTCCCTTCCTACCTCCTGCGAGACCGAGTAGAGCGGCCCATTTTCCACCACGCTGGTGACACGATAGAGCGTGTCGTTGTGCTCTCGGCAGACATCGTGGTCGCTGGAGCGCCCAGCCTGTCGAGTGAAAAGGAATACGAGAAGCGAAAATCGGGAATACTGAGCAGGGCGGCTTCTTCTCTATCCCCTTTCATGTTCAAGGTCCCTCCTCGTATCCACGCTCCACATAGAATAGAAAAGGACCAATACATGGATCGGTGCCTTTCCGAGTCCCTCCTTTCCACGTTGCTCTTCCTCGACCCCAAGTACCTTAATTATGGCAGGTTGAGCTATGAGAAGGCCGTGGTCGGAGAGGAAGTTCTCGTATTGGGTCAGATTGAAAGGGCGGGAGGGTGGGGAGCCGGCATCCGAGTCGACAAAGTGCACGTATCTGCGAGGGGAGAGACGACCAGAAACGCTTGAGAATGGTTGCTTCCTTCTTAATTTTCTTTCAAGCTGGCTCATCTCTCACCTGTAGCCCCTAACCAACCACGGCGTGGCAAAGCGCTTATAGAACCAAAACTTTGCCTGCTGCTGCCCCGTGATGGCTACTGCGTGCTTATACCAGTCGAACCTAGAGGAAAAGGAAGGAGGTCAGACGCGTATGAGTGATTCGTCGCCGTTTCGTTGTAGTCCATATCTTTTGCCTGGTATGAGGGAGACAAGAGGGGGAAAGGGATGGCGGAAAGAGAGCCATACCTGTTCCACTCCGAGGAGGAATCGTCATAATGCATCAAGACGTAGTCAAAATGCTCAAAACCCCACGACCGCACCAGGTTGTCGATATTTTCCATCGCGCTTCTTCCCGCTGTGAAGATGACGAGACTCCGGAAGCTGGAGTCTTCCTCTTCGTAAGGAAAAAACATATCCCGGTTGGGAAAATAATTGAAACCTCGTTCATCCCAGACGCTCCCCCGGGGGCCCACGCATTCACCAGGACGGCGTCGGCCAAGATGAGGCTTGGAAGAGGGAATGGCAGGATAAGACGGACAAGGCTCTCGTAGAGGGACGGACGAGCAAGGAGAATGCGACGGGTCAGAAGAGGAGCTATTCGGATCGGCTGTCTTTCGGGGGACCGCATCCACCGACGATAAGCTTTTGTCAACGCCGTCAACTTGGCTATTTGCCGTACTTTCCCTGGTATGGTTTTTGTTTCTGGATTCTTCTCTACCAGCTTGTAATCCGCGATGATAAGCTTTTGATGCTTCTTCCCAAAGCTCCTTCTCTGTGATGATTCTGGTCTGGGGCGGGTGTTGGAGTGCAGGAGTGTCCTTCTGAAGAGAGGGGAAGAAACAGGGAAAAGCATAAGCTGGCATCGGCACAGAAGCATTTTAATGTCCTGCTTCCTGTTTTAATCGTAACAGACCATCACGTTCAGCGATTTTCTCCGTTTATGTCACCACTTCATGAGTCCTGTCTTCAATTTGGGGTCCAACGTGCTTGCCTGCCGTCTTTTCTTTACCTCTTCTAGCTCCCGAGCCAGCTCTTGGGGTGAATTCCGACCCAGCGGACGACCAAGCAGCCATAAAAGAGCCGAAATACAGACGATGCACTTTCCCAAAGTCAAAAGATTCTTTACATTGGGAGGTCCCAGATCAGACAGGTGCAAGGCGGGTTAGCAAAAAGAAAATATTCTTACCACCCCAGAACCACCCTACTTACATGCGGTAATTTTCGAATAAACCCCCCATGCCGAGGATGCCATCGGTTTCTACGAGATATCGCTACCATGTGTCATATGGCTATAGATAGAAGCCGCCTGCATAGAGAATGAGATGACAAGAAAGAAGAGTCGATAAGGCTACGTGATGACGATAGGCAAAAGCGGGACGAGTAAAATTAATACGGGTGATAGCTCCCATTATTATCATCCTGCGAAATATCTCCAGCATCTTATCAACTCACGATCAGAAATGGTCGCGGTCGATAACATATTGACATTATGGAACTGGCATGTTGGTGGTTCGGCTCATATCACGCTTGGGATCTTGTAGTAGGTATGGGCCATGGGCCTGATGTCGTTGATCGTCATTCGCGCCTCTTGGCCTCATTATTGTCGAGCTATAGACGAGCAAACCGATGGATATGACTTACTCAATTACATGAAAGAGGCTTCATATTAACATATGTACTCAACTTTGCCTCATTACCATGGTAAGGTCTTTGTTGGATGACTACCGTCACAGCCCTGTACTTCGGCCCATGCGCGGGTCGTCTCTTTGAACCATGGGACGTGACTTCCTGTATTCACCCTTTTATTTTTTTATCCTCTGCCTTCAATTTGGTGTAACAATATAATTTACAGGTCGTTCATTTTTAAAATGCCGTCACCAAGACCTCCTCGACATCGGCGTCCTTCTTCTGTTAGAAACATTATCGACTATCCATCTAGCCCCGCAAAATCACCACAAGGCGTGAGCTGTCGCGCAGCACGCTCATCTCTGTCGGTAGGCGAGACCTCCTCGCAGGCTTTCAAGTCCAAACTGTCTACACATCAAAATGCCCTCAAGGATGAGCAGAAAGAAAGCAGAAGAGAACGGCTGAAAGACAGCGAGACGGAGCACGAGAATCATGCAGAGCAAAAGCAGCCGGGCAAAAGAATGACCTGGCGTGTAGAAACGTTTTGTCGGTATGTACTTGTCAATAGATCTATCAAGGTCAGAGCCTTTACACACACACACCAATATGTCATCCCCTACAATAGTGTCAAGCCCCACTTAACGCCATCTTCCCCCCCGGCTAAGTGTCTACGGTCGATCCCATACGAGCTACGACAGGGACAGGGCCGTACGTATATTCATTACTGGAGGGGGCTGGTCCGAGATAGAATAGCGAATCACGGTGTACACATTTCTTTGTCGTCATACTTTTCTTATGCTTTCCTCCCTCTAGCGCTTGGTAGCGATCCTCCGTACAGAAGCCTGCGTATAGGATGTGCCGAAAGCAGCGCAGGTGCATTATTATGGAATACTCGCCGACAAGAGATAGATTTCGATTTCACAGAGGTAAGCGACCATCGAATATATTCTAACAAGGGTCTTATACTGCACAAAATTTTACACGTTGAAGAGGGGTTGGTCTGCATCTTGGTACCACTCCTTCGTATCTTGTCTTTTGGCATCCTACCTTCAAACCCCCTTTCAATTCAGGTTTTTCCCCCAGCGGTCGCCCAAGCGGAAATATACGACCGAGCAGCTAAAGGGGTGGTAGACTCCGTTCTTCAAGGCTACAACGGAACAATTTTTGCCTGTAAGTAGCCTCCTCATAGAGCACTCGTTTTGTTCCTCCTTTCTTTTCCTTCCCTTTTTTGTTCTTCGATCAGCCCTCCCTATCTTTTTCCTCCCTCATTTTATCTTTCTTCTCTGCTTAGTGCTGCATTCTTAGGTTTATTGTTTCCCCGATAATTCTTCATTGACAACGGTTCAAAGCAGTGCCTTGTCTCATGTAGGCGCATGACCACCAGCCTCTTAGTTGTCTTCTTGCTCTTCTAGGTCTTACAAATCTCAAGCCATACGATCCCTCTGATATTATTATTGTCATGGGAGATTTTCTCGCTCCTTATGTGCAACCCGATCATTCCACACTTGTCTGATTCAGACGGACAGACGGGCTCCGGCAAGACCTTCACCATGACGGGAGGTGACTCCTTTCAGGAGCGCGGTCTCATCCCGCGCGCCATAAGTGACGTGTACGAGTCCATTGGAGGGACTCCAGACCGAAAATTCAAGGTACTGGTTTGCTTTTCATCCGCCGTGGATCTAGAACGTGAAAATCTCCGCCTGTGGAACCTAAGAATGGCTTTGGCAATGGATATCGTACACACAGTTGATAAGATCGACCGTCCCGTGACTTTGCTCCTCCTTGATTCCTGGCTCTCCCATACCCTTTCTTTTGCACAAGGACAACTGAGAGCGCGACCTGCTGGTAGCTCAATTCACACTGATACGTTTCACCCTCCCTCTTTGTGCCCGCAAGGTCCTCATCTCCTACATGGAGATCTACAAGGAGAGCGTCTATGATCTTTTGGACGTCGGCACCCGCAATAAGCCTTTGGAGGACTGGACAAAGGTATCTCCACGCCTGCATCATTCGCTTACATCCCCTACGCCCCGTTTCTTTCCTGCATTCGTTCCTAAATGGATTCGAGTGCTCAACAATCCTTCCATACCCCCCCTTCTTTTCCCTCTCCTCTTGGCATTGCAAGGTACTGATGATGGACGACGAAGACGGAGAAATGCACCTCCGGCACCTAAAGCTTTACGAAGCTGCATCTGAAGAGGATGCTCTCAACCTTCTTTTCATGGGGAACTGGAACAGAATAACAAGCGAGACACCAATGTAAGTCGTAGGGGCAAGAGAGAGTGCAGAAGGGACGAAAAACGGTATCAAAGGCGACATCTATCTCATTATAATTATAATTATAACACGGGAAACGTCCTGATCATGACTTATTCAAACTCAACGAGGGCCTAGGAATGAGGCAAGCACTCGCTCGCATTGCATCTTCACCATCCGCGTGCAGTCTGACCCCTTATTACCAGGCACGGCGGGAGGAGAAAGGAAGGAAAGGGAGGGAAGGCGGAAGTAAAAAAGCCATGGGTTATGTCTTCGAAAGTATTTTCTCTATTTTCGCTCAATTCTAACCTTGTTCAAATCTTCATGGCTCACAATATATTTCCAGGAGTGACCGGTCATCCGTCGAAATCCACGTTTGGGAAGCTGAACCTCGTCGATCTTGCAGGCAGGCGTCGTTTTTCCCCTATCGTATTGTATCGAATTTTCCTTTTTTCTCCTATCTAGAGTTCTCGCAATTGTCTTTCACTTCTTGCGTCTCTTGCTGCATTTTGTCTCTGTATATTTTCTGTGTTCTCCTTCCCATGCTTTCTTCTCTCTTCTTCAGTCTTGGCTGATTTCGCGCTAACTTCTTGCCCTTCCTATCTACGTTCATCTAATTGACAGGTTCGGAGCGTCTGTTCAAGACGAATGCAGGTCATACCAGTAACAGCATCGCAAACGGAAGTTTCGCGAGCAACAACACCCGCATGGAAGGCAAATATATCAATCTTTCCCTGCACTACCTTGAACAAGTAATTGTCGCTTTGCAAGAGAAAGGTTGGACTTCACCCTTTTTCTCCTCTCCTAAGCGTTGCTCTTTTTTCCCCCCCTACGTATCTCATACTTTTTTCATGCTTATCTACGGTACAGCCCGACGGCAGAAAGATGAAGACGAAGAAATTACAAACCGGCTAAGTGCCCCTAGGCTCGGGCGTGGATCGTCGTCCTCCTCTTCTACGGGAGGCCAATCGTCTTACCATATTCCTTACCGAAACAGCGTCATGACGTCAATCCTGCGCGATTCGCTCGGTGGTAACTGTCGAACGGTTTTCGTCGTTACCCTGAACTCGGTAATTTACCCGCCGGACACTCGCCTGATATATATCTGTGTGTTTCGTTGTCTGTTTCTCATGATATCTACCTTGCATGTCCTTCCCGTCTCCACGTATAAATTCCATCTCCCCTCCCCCCCCCCAGGAAATGGATCATCTCGAAGAGTCCCTTTCAACTTGTCGCTTTGCGCAACGCTGTGCTCAACTGTCCATGGACGTGCTCGTGAACGAAGAGATTGACCCTTACCATCTAAGCGCCTCCCTCCAAGCTGAGGTACAATATTATTTTACACTCGTCGATGAGGTTTCATTCATCGGTGTCTCATCTCATCCCCTACTGCATTGGAAGTGATTACATTCTTTTCCCGCCAGCTGTAAGCCTGTTTGCATTGAATTTTCCAACACCCCATATGGCTCGTGAGGGACGCCGTCATCTCTCGTTTCACGGAGCACCCCAAAAACCTAACCCAACAGGTTGCAAGTCTACGACGAAAAGTAGCCAGCCACGAAGAGGCTTTAAAAAAGGCTCATGCTATAGCTGGTATGTTAATCACGCTATTGCTGTTAAATTCATAATATTTCATTCCTCGGCTTTTCATTTCCTTTATCCTATGCTGTGGTCTTCAGAAAAAGAGGAGGCAAGAAATTCCTGGCGGGCCTTGAGCGAGCAGGAAAAAAATCTGTGTCACGCTGTTGTCCAGGATTTTATTCAGGTACTTTTCTATAACTTTTATTTCCTCGAACAAAGATTTGGCTTTCATTTGTAACGATATGCACTTTTCACGTTCCCCTTCTTCCGCCTTACTCCTCATAGGCCGCTTCTTCTCCCGTTGCTTTCCTACCTTCCTCTTCGGGTGCTTCTTGCGTCCCTTCTGCTTATCAATGGATCTACACACTGAGTCGTCCATTGGTTGCTCATTGTGCTCAGCTGCTTCTTCTTCGCGGAGAGTCTATGCGCGAGGGAGGAATAAAAGAAGGGGCTACGGAAGGGAAGAAAAGCGCAAGCGTCACCATGTAAGAAAGTATCGGAAATCACTTGTGGAGGCTTTGGATTGTGAAAGCGAGAGGGCAAAATGTGTGCAAAAGAAATGGACGTCCACATTAATTTGATCTTTTCCCACATGTGTAAACTTTTCCAGTCACCAACCTCCTAATTTGGAGCACGAAAACGACGGCATGCTACGCCACCCTTACTATAATCATCGTCAACAACATCAACATCATCATCATCATCATCAACAACAACAACAACAACAACAACAACAACAACAACAACAACAACAACAACAACAATATTGTGACCCCTCTTTTCCCATAAAGGAATCATCCTGTAATGCCCCGGAGGAAGAAGGACCACATCTGCATGTACGTTCCATTATGATCCCTCTACATACCTTAAATCATACTCACTTTACCTCTCTTCCATGCCCATAGGGGTCATCAAGTCAGCATCGCGTGCAATCACCTTGTGCGATGCCCGTCTTACAGGCCATCACTGCTGCTCCTATCCAAAGCAAGCAGAAGGGACGAAAGCCTAAAGCTGTTAATATTGATTGGGGAGTCAAAGAGCGCCTTCAGCAGGGGCAGATCTTTTTCAAGCTGGGCCGGGGAGGGAAAAGGCACGAAAGGTTTCTTTGGGTGTCTCCTGACATGGCGTCCTTACGATGGCGAAAATTAGGGAGGAGAGGAGGGGGAGATGGTCGGAGAGACGGAAATAAGATAGAAGCCCTCTCTCCGACTCCGGTATCTACGTCACTGCCCTTCGCGGAATGCCAGCGCGTCGTCGTGGGGCGAGACTCCGGCAGCCCAGAGAGGGGCGCATCAAAGAATAGGGACGGAAGCGCCTGTTTCACTCTGTACAGCCACGATCGATACGTGACGTTTGAGGCCCCCCGGGGCTCGCAAAGAGAACTTTTGCGCGACGCGTGGGTGGCAGCCCTTGCTCATATGATCCATCGAACACAAGGGCTGACCACATATCGTGACGTTCATAGCATGTCCCATGAACACATGTTTGGGAAAACTAGAAGTGGTGTTGAATCGGGGCCTTCCATCTTGCCAGAATCATGTGCTCAGTCGGAGATGCGCGACGATCCCACGGGATACAACGATGCCGAGTCGCACCGCCAGTCGCGCTCTCAAGGGGAGGAACAATGCAAGATAGAAGAAGAGACCCCTGTATCTGCCCAAGAATTGCCGTACCACCGAGAGGGGAGATCTCCACGCGTGCAGGAATATCCAAGCATGCCATCGGCCTTTTGGACAAGTCACACACAAGAGCCAACGAGGTATATATACCCAGCAATGTCTGAGATTCCTGCGCCTGCGTTCTTCACGCATGCCCAGCATTCCCTCGATCGCCAGAATTTTTGTAACCCTCATTCGCATCAACAGCGGCACAGTCGAGAGGCTCTCCTCCATCGCTCTCTTTCAGGTTCAAATGCGTTCCTGGCAGACCAATCGACGCAAGGAGATGACCATGAAGCTCCCCGACAGAGCTATCCGGACCAGAATGACTCGTCGTTCCGCAGCTTCACCACGCCCCAGCGCAAAATGGGTTCCCGGAGAGATAATGAACAGCTGTCAGCAGTCAGCAGCAACAGCAGGACCGTCAACAGCAGCGAAGATCGATATCGAGTGCCTTCGGAAGCTTCTAGCCATCCAATCAATCCTCACCTGGCAGCCACACATCCTGCTTCGATGCAGAGTAACATGCAGCGCTCAGGTTCACAAACATCCCTGAAGGAAGGCGCGCAAGCAGAACGCCAGGGGTCAGGAGAGGTCAATCTTCATCCCTCCTTGATAACTCCGTCAACGGAAGTCCTTCCGCACGAGCGTGAAAGAGCCGGAGTAGCCGCAAGGCAAGGGGTTGAAGAAAGCAGCATTCAACCTGTGGGAGAAGGGCGGGAGTGGGGAAGGAGCAGCAGGGAAGGTACATTGGCGTGCGAGGGCAACGGGTATCCCATCTACCCTCCACCACGTCCAAATGCCTTAACCACCTTGTTCGTGCACACGGGTTCCTTGCCCAAAGGCCCGTCACCCGAATTTTCTTCCTCCCCTCAACTTTCTTCCACGTCACGTCGTCATCACACTCTCTCCGGAAGCGCCCCCTCTCCCTCCTCAGCCTACCCGCGCTATTCCCCTTCGCAGCCCCCAGATGTAGCATTGTCCTCCCCCCCTTCGCTTCCTCGAGAAGAGAAGGCCTTCACTGCTTCTGCTGAGAGAGGATCGTACAGTACGAAGACTGCCCTGGTCCCTGCTTATGCTTCTCCCTCATCCTTCCGCTCCCCCTCCTCTGCATCCTTCTATTCCGCATTCAAGCGCGGCGGTAGTCGTTCACAAACCCAAGCAAGCACGCATGACACCGTAAATTCCCGCCAGAACACTTCCTCTTCCTTCGTCACCTCCATCATGGTCGCCTTAGGCGGACGTAGGAAGGAAGAAAAGAGGGCAGAGGCGCATGCTTCTTATGCACCAGAAAGGGAAAAGAATTCGGGGAGCTACGCAGCGCAGGGTTTGTTGAAACGCACAGCCAGCATCAACCAGCAGGCACGCCGAGCCATGTATTGAGGCGGGATGCGGGTGAAGGACTTTTGATATGGAATGATCGCAAAGTACCGCTGAAACTTTATATAATGTGCACAAAGACATGGAAAAAGACTTTAATCTCGATAGCGTTGACAAGCTTATTCATCGCCTGATATTTTGTTCCTTTTTTTTCGCTGTACTACCCAATAAATACTGGGAAGGAATGTAGAGATGGGCAAGTAGGTTTAAATGTATTCCGTTACATGCCGTGGCGCTTCCTTTGCTGCTGTGTACAGTCAGTTTCCTTTGCTTTTCTTCCTGGACCTCTTCCAGGACGCCCTCTCCGCGGACCACACATTTTCTATCATCCCCCCCTTAAATGTACCTCCTGCCCCCCTCTTCCCTCCTCACCCTGTACCTCCCTTTG